GAGCCAGCGCTGTCTGAAGACGTTTCCGTGGTCATGTGGCCGGCATGACTAAACACCAAAGCGCACGGAACGCTGTTACCTTCCCACCGAAGTGGTACCTATTTATCTACTTGCAATTTCTTGCTTTCGAACTGCTAGGTTGGCAGGAGCTGGCGCTAGAGACGGGAGCTCACTCCGTCATGCGGCAGACTCGGGTCTCGAACTCCTGAACTCCTGACCTTCCACAGCCTGCAGTTCAGCGTCTTAACCACCTGAGCCACCGCAGCTCAAGTAATGTACCTTTCCCTTTAAACGACTACGATTGCCTCCTGGCTGTCGAAAGACAGTAACAGAGCCCAGCAGTTCTACCCGCAAGTCTCTTTCCTGTAAACTCCCAAGTTCCATCATATAAAATACAGGAATCCTCACCAGCGCCCCCACCCCCCAGCCCGCTGCTTTCAGTCTTAGAAACAGACACCCTTTCAGGAATGGAACCCAGGGAACCATCCCCCGCGTCTAACCTCGAGTAACCTCTCTCATCTGCCTCGCACATGGTCTCCAGAACAAGGAAGTCGAAAGTTTCGCCGTGTCAGCTTGCCTGTCTGTGCCTTCATGCGAATGACTGGGTGGCAGCGATCTAAACTGGACCAGGAAACCGAAGGGTGGGGACGGTCCCCCGCCCCCTCCCCCATCCCCACTATGCCTGCAGTCCCGTCTTGCCCTTGCAGACTCCGCTTACGGCTCTTTCCCCGCAGGAGGCCAAGAGAGCGGCTGAAGAGGCCAGGCGCATGGAGCTGCCCCTGTCGACCAAGGTAAGGCGGCTTGCAGGCTGTGTCTGCAGTCAGGATCGGACTCGGCGGTTGCTTTGCATTCATCCTTTTGAACGGGGGAGTCTGAGAGCAGGGTTAGCTTTGCCAGAACTTTCTGTGTGTAGGGGAGGGAAGAGCTGCCAAGGTTTACCTCCGTTTACGTGTTTAGAAAGAAAGGAATCAACCCCCGAGCACGCACAGATTGCGTTTCCCGTAATGCTAACGGTCCAGGAAGGGCCTCTTGGGTGGGCATCCAGTTCATCTTAGAGGCTAACCAGATTTTCTGGGTTTGAGTTTTCAAGAGCCAAAGCTCCCTTCATC